ATTTGAGCCGATGCAGTTGAAGGACCAGCGATTGGTGTCGATGTTGCTGCTGCTGCTGCCGTTGTTTCTGCTGCTGCCGATGTTGTCTCTGCTGCTGCCGATGTTGTCTCTGCTGCTGCCGATGTTGTCTCTGCTGCTGCTAATGTTGTCTTTGCTGCTGCCGAGTGTTGAATTGTTGCTAATGCTCTTGTTCGTTCTGTCTCAGGGATGGTGTGCGAGTACCAGAAGCCTTCTGGACTGAAGTCGGGGTCAAGATCTGGCGGGTGTGTCCAGGAGGTGAAGGTGACGATCCCGTCGCTGTCAGCAGTGCCGAGATCTGGGACAAAGTCGAGGACGAAGACGTTACTCTTCAGGACCGCCTTCCAGATGTAGAGACCGCCTTTCCCGTTATATAACTTGAACTCCTGAGTGGTGCTATCTGCTTCGAGGTTTATGCCCTTCGCCATCAGTTGACTGACGCTTAGTAGGTTGTAACCGAGCCCTTCTGCTATTAAAACCTTCGACATCTGCAGTATGACGTTTGTTTCTCGTGACTGAAGTTGCACTACGCCTTGTCGTCGTGTGCGCAGATTCTGATTGTTGGCGACGGTGATGACGACCTCGCGTTGAAGTTGGTGTTCACGTTGAACAAAGCGTCCTGAAGAGCACATATGCTGTCCGCAGCAGTTGTCTAAGAACCACGTATCTTTCCCAGATGGTTCGCTTTGGGCGATTGCTGCGTACGTTGGGTTCGGTTGTAGTGTTTCTCGACGTGGAGTCCTTTCGTCGAGTTGTTCTTCTGGTGAGTAGTGCGGCGGTGATTCAGTAATGCAGGAGTCGGTCAATCTTGCCCTGCAGCTGACGATGTCCCTTGTTCTTTGTGCAGGTTGTCCCGTCGATGTTGTTGAGGCTTGTACTTGAGAGGTCGGATTCGCTTGCGTTGAGGCGACTTGACTGCTTGAAGGGCGAAGCGGCCGGTTTGGGCAGTGTGTACGGGGGTGACCTGACGTCTTGCAAAGGTGACAGAACGGAGGTACTGGTTTCGGTTGATGCCGATAGTTGTTGTTGTTGTAGCGCCGTTGAGTGTGGAATGCGAATTCGGGCACTGATGCCTTCTTCTTGTGTCGTTCTTCTTGCAGGTCCATATCTTGCTGCTCAGCGTGGATCTCGGCGCAGAGTGCTGCTTCTGATATTTTTCCGTGGGCTCGGAGTATGGCGCGGGTAGAGCGCCACTGAGGACCGAGGCCGCTGATGATGACTGTGTCGAAGGCGTCTTCTGAGATCGACCCTCCGCATCGAATGAGTTTGTCGCGCAATTCGCGACAACGGCTGATATACGCCATCCCCATTTCGCCCGGTTTCGTTTCGACTGTCGTCAGTTGCGCCATTAACCGACTTTGATTGACGCTGTCTGTTGCTTGATACAGGTTCTTCAGGTGGTTGTACGCGAGCTCTGCAGAGTTGCCGTATCCCCGGTAAGACCGTATATTCTGCTGCTGATTCGGAGTGATGTTTCTCAGTAGTATTGTGTACGCCATCATTGACTGATACGTGTACTGCTACTTGTCGTACTGTGTGCCGTGTGTTGGATATGGCAGGGACCCGTCAAAGAAGCCAAGAATCTGCGCGCCTTCCATCATCAGTTCGAATTCGAATGACCAGGTAAAGAAGTCCTTTCCGTCGAATGGTCTTGGCGTCTGCAGTTTTAAAACGTGCGCAAACTATGACTGAAGTTGAAGTGCATCTAGTGTCTTCTCTTGCTCAGGTGAAGGCTGCTGGCGTGGCATGAAGCTGACGGAGCCACGCTGAGGTTCGTACGGGGCGAAGGTAGGTTGTTGCTGATTTCCTCGTGCGTAAGATGAACCGTCGAGGCTCATCGGTGTTGCGTTGTTGTTGTTGCTGTTGTTTGACTGTGCAGGTGCCCTTTGCTGGTGTTGTTCGTAGAAGGACATGAAGGAGAAGAATTTCTCCATCAAGTCTGGGTCGAAGGCCGCGGCTCGATTTGCGGGAGTTTCTGAAGACGTTGCTCTTGGTCTTGTTGCCGTACCCTCCTCTGTCTGTAGGCCAGAGGCAGGAGGTGGAGTAGGAGTAGTACCGGGAGAGCCGTTAGAGGAGCTTCTCTCCTTCTGCGTTGCCATGTCTTGTGATGTTGTGGGTGTCTTGGTTGTAGTTGAATTTGTCCTGACAGCTCTCATACCATGTTGGGCTGAGAAAAGCCCTTAGGATCTTTGCAGGACTAAATTCTGAGTAGGACAATGTAATAGCGGAAGCGTCTTAATAAGAACTTATGAACCACCTTGCGCTAGTATGTGAGGGCAAAGTAGATTGATTAATAACAAAGAGATACAAGCTTCTATAAGAATACAAGGGAATATGAAGGGTTATAACTAATAACCGTTTTACCATTGCTGTTGCGGTTCGATACAGTGACGACTCGGGCAACTGCTCAATAGTGAGTCAGTTGTTTGTCCTTGCTGTCGCGCTGTACTTGTCAGGTCAAAGGTCGCTGACCTTTGACTTTCGCGTAACCTCCAGCAGTTGTTCAACCTCCGAGGGTTGACTCGCTGATGCTTCGATATGTTCTGCTTCGCTTCTGACTTGGTGTTTCGACACGACAGAGGCGCTTAAATCAATTGTTTCCAACAAAGGGCACGGCTCGCATGGCAGGGCTGTTGCATTCTGCAGCACGTGGCGCTTGACAACCGTTTCCACCACAAGCAGCCCACACTGTAGCGTTCAACAAAACAATTTCCTTCCACACACCCAACTTAAGGGTTTCAGGCCCTTTTTCTTCCACTCACCCACCAAACACCCTTGTGTTTCAAGTTTCAACCCCCATCCTATAGGCTTCCACACCATGCTCTTCCACTCACCCGCACAAAGGGTTCAGCACCCTTCCCTTCAACTCACCCACCCTCCTTAGGGTGTCAACCCCATTCTCTTTCACTCACCCAAGGTAAGGATTTCAGCTCCACTCCTTTCCACTCACCTCACCCACCCAACCTCAGGATTCCAACCCCATGGTCTTCCACTAACCCAGATTCGGGGATTCAGCACCCTCCTCTTCACAATCACCCGCCTTAGGGGTTTCAGCCCTCTTCCCACTCTCTTCCCACTCACTCACCCATCCAAGGGGTTTCAGCCCCTTTCCCAATCACTTCACTCTTACTCACCCACACAAGGTGTTCCAGTCAGCCCCATTCCCTCTCACTGACCCACCCAATGGGTTTTTAGCCCCTTACCCTTTCTCTCACCCACTCAAAAGGACTCAGCCCCTTTCTTTCTCACTCATCCACCCAAGGGGTTTCAGCCCCCTACCTTCCTCTCACCACTATCACTTTCCCCCCCTCCCAGCCCCTCGCAACCTTTACCTGTCAGCAGTGGGAGCAACAGACAGACAGCCCACTTTCTTTAAGAAAAAGCCAATCAAGAGGCTGGGCCTGTGGGTCGAGGTGTGGCAGTGAAAAGGCGCTTTCGGCCCAGGACTCAAATCCCACCCCTGACGTAACCTGAGCTGACGTGAACCAGAGCCGCCGGCCGGTCGACTCTGACGGTGTCCATTAAGCCTTGAACGCCATATCCGTTATTTGAGCACCGAGTGCCGTGCCGCGCAGATTCCACCAACCATACCCCGACCCACAAGCCACAACTCCTGAGGATGCTGCCCCTAAGGCAATGAACTCCCCGCATGCTCCCATACTTCCCACCCACCCTCCTCCCTTTACCCCATGTATCCTTACCTCTACTTACTACAGTCATGCAGAGCGCTGCGATGCCTGAGGCTGTGGGGGAGTGGGGAAGGAGAGGATTAACAGAGCGCTGTGATGCCTGCTGCTGCCACATCCACTGCTGCTTCTGCTTCTGCTGCTGATGACGCTGCTGCTGCTACTGCTGCTTCTGCTTCTGTTGCTGATGGCGCTGTTGCTGCTGTTATGTGGCGCATGTCAGTGTGTTGTGCTCGAAGTGCAGGTGGTATTCCGACTGCAGATGAGCCACTCGAGTCATGAACGCACGCCTGCATGCCATGGGGTGTGAGTGTAACGCAGGGGGGGTGCGGCACATGTTAGTGTGTTGTGTTGAGAGTTCTGGTGGAATTCCGACTGCAGTTGAGCCACTCGAGTTATGAATGCACGCCATGGGGTGAAGGTGGAAGAGGAGCGCATTCACACACAAACGAGAATCAAGAAGGGGGAAAAGGAGCAGGGGGTGGGGGAGTGTGGGGGGTTCTTTTGAGGGTGGGAAAGCAGGGAAAGGAGAAGGCAAGAAGGGGAATAAAAAACTCACCCCAGCAGCCTTCGGCGCAGCTTCAAGTGCCTCTCTTGCAGCGCTGCCACTGCCATGCGGATGACACACACATGCCATGCAGTGTAGATGACACACACATGCCATGCAGTGCAGATGACACACACATGCCACGCAGTGCAGATGACACACACATGCCATGCAGTGCAGATGTCACACACATGCCATGGAATGCAGATGTCACACACATGCCATGCAGTGCAGATATCACACACATGTCATGTAGTGCAGATGTCACACACACACATGCACGCAGATGAGTCACACATGCCATGCAGATGAGACACGCCATGTGGATGGGAGGCGACGGCGGGAAACGGGGGGTAGTAGTGGAGTGGGGGCCATGAAGGGGAGGGGAGCAGAGGAGTGAAGGGAAGAGAAGGGCAGTCCAGGGAAGAAGTAGGGGGAGCGAGAACGAGAGGGAAGGGCAGGCGGGGAGAAACAGGAGATAAAGGAACGAGAATGGCTGCAACACTGCTTCAAACAGAACTGCATCACTGGGCTGGGTTGCATCGCGAGTGGCAGCAACAGGAACGAGAATGGTTGAAGCAGTGAAACCACTGCTGAACGAGAATGGTTGAAGCAGTGAAACCACATGTGCATAGCTGACTCACGTGTGTGCATAGCTGACTCACTTGTGTGCATAGCTGACTCACTTGTGTGTAGGTAGCAGGAAGGAGTGTGGGTAGCAACAGAAGACACGCAGGCAGTGTCCACGTATGCACTACCTCTCGCACCACCAGGGAGTGCAGGTAGCAGCAGGGAGTGCAGGAAGCAGCAGGGAGTGCAGGTAGAAGCAGGTAGTGCAGGTAGCAGCAGGGAGTGCAGGTAGCAGCAGGGAGTGCAGGTAGCAGCAGGGAGTGCAGGTAGCAACGGTGTCCACGTTTTCACGCTACTACTATCGTGCCAGCATACTGAGTCAACTCGAGCTCAGACGACCTTTTCAGGACTTGGGGAGTGAGTGGCGCCAGCAGCAATGAGTGCACATTCATGACGTTTGATTCAAAAAGGGTGCTGTCTGGACTCTGTTCTGCTGGTTCTGGCCTATGCATGCTACCAGCGACGTTTCTATAACTTTATGCGCCTGCTCTGCATGTGCACTGGTCATTTGTACATGACTTATGCGTGGCCAAGCCTGCAACGTGACTTTGCTCACACGTGTCTGCGCACCTCGCGTCACATCGATCACATTGCAACGTCACATAATCCCCATCTCACATCATCAGTGCCATCCATCCCACCCTGATGGCATGGCATGGCGGATCAGTCACAACAACAAGGTGATTCAACTGCTCCCCAAAACTTATCAGCCATTTCATCGCCGCCCCCCCCCCCTCCCACCCCTTTCCAACCCACGTTTCCCCTTCCTTTTTTTGAGCCTATCCTCTTGTTATGGTTTGCGTTCTTTTGACTCCCTCCTAGTTCCATGTCCTTGTCTTATTGTCAGCAACGACGATCGTGAGGTGGCATTGTCATGGTCGTTTCCTATTCTTAACGTGTTTGTCTTCGGGAGCACTGCTTCGTCCTCATCCCTCCTTCTACCCTCATCCTTTCTCTACCCTCATCCGTTCCCTACCCTCATCCCTCCCTCTACCTCATCCTTTCTCTACTGTCATCTCCCCTGCAACCTCATCCTCCCTGCAACCTCATCCCCCCTGCACCCTCATCCCCCCTGCACCCTCATCACCGCATTCCCTCATTCAGGCATCACTGCATTCCTTAATTCAGGCACCACCGCATTCCCTCATTCAGGCATCACCGCATTCCCCCATTCAGGCATCACAGCATTCCCTCAGTCAGGCATCACCGCATTCCCTCATTCAGGCATCACCGCATTCCCCCATTCAGGCATCACAGCATTCCTTCAGTCAGGCATCACCGCATTCCCTCATTCAGGCATCACCGCATTCCCTCATTCAAGCATCACCGCATTCCCCCATTCAGGCATCACCGCATTCCCTCAGTCAGGCATCACCGCATTCCCTCATTCAGGCATCACCCCTTTCCCTCTTTCAGGCATCACCGCATTCCCTCATTCAGGCATCATCTCATTTCCTCAATCATCTGGCATCATCCTCTCAATCCCCTCTTTATGCATACTTATCATGCAAGCATACCAATAACCACCTCATTCCCTCACTCAATACAGAGTGTTGGTATCACTTGCAGGATGCATGTTGGCATGAGTTACAGCATACCCATTAGCATGCGTTACAGCATGCTCTCACCGCTAGTTCTCTCACTCCCCCGTCTCTTTCCTGTCACATGCAGGCTGAGCAAGGAGGCAGAGGCGGAAACGTCCTGCAAGGCATCAGCCATCATGCTCAGGCATCAGGAGGGGATTGAGAGGCAGAGGCATCAGCCATCAAGCATCAGGCATCAGGCATCAGGCATCAAGCATCATGCCTTAGGCATCAGGAAGAGAAGAGAGGGCTACTCGCTGTGGGGATTGAGAGGACAGAGGCAGCCTCATGGAAGCATGGATGCAGCCTCATGCATGGAGCAGAGGCGTGAAAAGGAAGAAAAGAGAGAGGGGATTGAGAGGACAGAGCATGGATACATGGAGCAGTGGGAGAAGGCGGGCGTGAACAAGGCTGCGAAAGAACAAGTGCGGGACGAAAATAGTATGTAGCTGAGCTGTTACACGGAGCTGTAGCTGGGAAATTCCTTTGCTGTCCCATGAGCTCTATTGCAAACCCGTGTCGCGATGGGGTTCTAAATAACCCGTGTGCTCTAAACAAGCACGTTTCTAGTTTAGCATTATTGACAAACGTAGTCCCCCCTAGAACAAGCTCACTGCACATGGGGTTCCCCCTATAACAAGCTCACTGCACATGGGGTTCCCCCTAGAAGAAGTTCACTGCACCACATGGGGTCACCCCTAGAACAAGTTTACTGCACCACATGGGGTCACCCCTAGAACAATCTCACTGCACCACATGGGGTCACCCCTAGAACAATCTCACTGCACATGGGATTCCCCCTAGAACAAGCTCACTGCAAGTTTGGTCCCTTCGAAGAAATTCAATGCATGTCCTGCCATTAACCCCTATAAGAGATTCACTGCAAGTCCAGCCATCACCCCTAGAAGGAATTCACTGCAAGTCCAGCCATCACCCCTACCCTAAAAGAAATCCACTGCAAGTTCAGCCATCAACCCCTAGAGGAATAGCACTGCACTGCAAGTCCAGCCTGTTGGAAACATTTAGTTTACGCTTCTGAAGTATCGAGCACTACAACAAAATAAGAAGTATACTCACAGCGAAGCAACACCGAGTCAACCAAAGCGGTTGACTAGGTGACAATAGCATGAGGTTGAAGCGAAAGTCAAAGGTCAGTGACCTTTGACTTGACAAAGGCAGCGTGACAGCAAGGACAAATAACTGACTTGTTATTGAGCAGTTACCCGAGTCGTCGCTGTATCAAACCGCAACAACATTTACAGTTAAACCCTTCATTTTCCTTGTAATCATATAAAAATATCCTTGTATCTCTTTGCTTTGATCAATTCATCTTGTTCTCACATACTAGTACAAGGTGGTTCACTCAATCCACTATTACGCTTCCGCTAAATACATCACTACTCGAAGAGTTTAGTCTTGAATGATCCTAATGACTTTGATTTTTCAGCCCAACATGGTATGAGAGCCTACAAGACAAAACTCAACTTTGATCAACTTCCTGCAACATCAGCAGACATTGGCAACACAGAAGGAAAGAAGCTCGTCTACTGGATCTCCCGGTACTACTCCTACTCCACCGCCAGCCTCTGGACTGCAGACCGAAGGAGGCACAACTCAAAGGCCAGCTGCTGAGTCAACTGAGACTCCTGCGAACCAAGCAATCGGCATCGACCCAAGTATGATGGAGAAATTTTTCTCGTTCATGTCGTTCTACGAGCAAAATCAACAAGCGGCACCTGCGCAGTCAAACAACAGCGACAACAACAACGGAGTCACTCCCATGAGTCTCGATGGCTCATCTTTTGCGCGCGGAAATCAACAGCCTACCTTCACACTGTATGTACCTCAACGCGGCTCTCTCAGCTTCATGCCGAATCAGCTCCCACCTGGACAAGAGACGAAGACACTGGGTGCATTTCAGTTGCAGTTGTCAAACTTATATGCTATAGTCTGTTTAGGCTGTAGTGGGGTAGTTCTTATAGGGTACAACACTTATAGATTTGCTACTTGTACCCACCAGCTTTCTAGTTCATTCATTCCGTTCCTGATTCTAACATGGTATTCTAAGCAGGTTCCCTTGTGGGAACGTTTTTTTTTAGGGCCCACCACGAATTTTTCCTGCCCTGCCCGAAGCGCGCCTCGCGCCTGCCCTAGCTACGCAGTCGCCTGCCCTTCCCTAGCCGGCCCCTTCTCAGCCGGCCCGTCCCGGCCTGTTCCTGGCCCGTCGCGGCCCCTTTGCCGCCCGTTGCGGCCCCTTTCCCGCCCGTTGCGGCCCCTTTGCCGCCCGTTGCGGCCTTTTCGCCGCCCGTCGCGGCCCCTTTGCCGCCCGTCGCGGCCTGTTTGCTGCCCGTCGCGGCCTCTGCCCAGCAACCGCCCTGTCGCAGCCACTGCCCAGCACTTCGCCGCCCGTCGCGGCCTCTGCCCTGCAGCCACCCCCTGTCGCGGCCACTGCCCTACTGCCGCCCCAGTCGCAGCCCTACCTTAGCCGCCCGTCGCGGCCTCTGCCCTGCAGCCGCCCCCTGTCGCGGCCCTGCCCTGCTGCCGCCCCAGTTGCGGCCCTGCCTTCGCCGCTGTTGCGGCCCCTGCCCTGCAGCCGCCCCTGTCGCGGCCCTGCTCTGCTGCCGCCCCTGTCGCGGCCCTGCCTTGCGGCCGCCCACTGTTGCGGCCCTGCCTTCGCCGCCCGTCGCAGCCCCTACCCTGCAGCCGCCCTCTGTCGCGGCCCTGCCCTGCAGCTGCCCCTGTCGCGGCCCTGCCCTGCACCCACCCCCGGTAAGCACCTGCGCTGTCCTGCCGCGCCGCGCCGCCTGCTGCTGCGCCGCGCTGCCAGGAACCGAGCCGCGCCGCCCTGCCGAGCCGCGCCGCCCAGCCGAGCCGCGCCGCCGTTGCCAAGCCGCGCCGCCCAGCCGAGCCGCGCCGCACTGCCGAGCCGCGCTGCCCTTCTGCTTGCCCTGCTTCTGCTGCCACTGCTGCTACTGCTGCTACTACTGCTACTGCTGCTATGGCTAGCCCTACTGTTCTTACCTTTGATGCTGAGGGGCGTGCAGTTGACTTTGACGTGTGGGTTGACGACCTGCAGCTCTTTCTTCAGTGTGACTCTAGGGATGGGGTATCCCTTTTCGATCACACGTCCGGTGTCTCTACTGCTCCTACTGCCATTGCTGATAGTACGGTTCGCTCGCAGTGGACCAATCGTGACGCTTTTGCTCGTCTTGCTGTTCGTAGTAGTCACCTGCCGCCTGCTGAGCGCGCGCATTTTGGCCAGTACAAGACTGCTCAGTCTTTGTACGACGCTGTAGTTGCGCGCTACTCCTCCCCTGCCACTGCTGCCCTCAGCCGCCTCATGCTGCCGTACCTTTTCCCTGACCTTGCCGCCTTTGCCACAGTCGCTGACCTCATTGCTCACCCCCGCACTAGTGACGCCCGCTACCGCGCTGCCCTTCCCACTGAGTTCTGTGCCAAGAACCCCCCCCCCCCCCCCCATGTACATCACCCTTTACTACCTAATCACCCGCCTCCCTGACTCCCTTTCTTCAGTTAGGGACCACTTTCTCTCCCTTTGCCCCACCGAGCTCACTGTCGACCTGCTAGAGGAGCGCCTCGCTGCAGCTGAGAAGAGTATCTTAGCTGTAGGTGCTTCTCGCGGCGACCGTCGCACCCCTTTCTTTGAGGGGTGTTCCCCTGTCCCCCTTCTCCCCTCTGTTGCTTCTGCTGCTGCTGTCGACCTCGTTGGCACTGAGGAGGTCGGGGTTGTGTCTGCCCCTAGTGGGAGACGCCACAACAGCAAGGGCAAGGGGGGCAAGGGTGGTGGAGGGGACGGCGGGGGCGGAGGCGGAGGCGGTGGCGGAGGCGGAGGGGGTGGAGGTGGAGGTGGGGGTGGTGCCGGGAGTGGGGGCTTCAGTGGCGGCGGTGGAGGTGGTGGAGGCAGCGGCGGAGGTGGTGGAGGCAGCGGCAGCGGTGGTGGAGGCAGCGGCAGCGGTGGTGGAGGTGGCGGCGGCGGTGGTGCTGGTCGAGGTGCAGCCGCGCAGCGTGGAGGCTTTGGTGGTAGCCAGCGCCAGCAGCAGCTGCGTTCCCGTGAGACCCCGTCGGCCCAGTAGCTTCGTGAGTGGTACGCTGGGCGTGGGAGGTCTGGGGGTGTTGGTCCCTGCACTTACGTTCTTTGCACCGGCGGGCGTCGTGGGGAGACGTGCGGGCTGCCACACACTGCGCAGCGCTGCTTCGGTCGCTTGACTGACGCCTGGCGTGCCCAGTTTCCTGACGCTGTTGAGCTCCCTCGCTGGGGTGATCTGCTTAGGCAGAACGTGGCTATCTTTGATCTTGATTTCGATGCTATCCTTGCTGCCATGTATGCTTTGACTGATAGTGCTGAGGGTGACTGTTACCTGAGTGTCCCGCCCGACCCGGGCATTGAGGCTGCTGCTCTAGGTGCTAGTGCGTCTGCTGCTCCAGGTACTGGTGAGTCTGCTGCTCCAGGTGCTGGTGAGTCTGCTCTCTCTGGTACTGCACCTACTGAGGCCTTGCACACTTTCACACTTGACTCTGGTGCTTCGCGCTCTTTCTTTCGCGACAGCACCACACTCACGCCGCTTAGTCGGCCTGTCGCAGTCTCCCTTGCTGACCCCTCTGGGGGCCCAGTCCTTGCGCACTCTTCCACGGTTCTACCGTGTCCTGCGGCCCCGTCGGGCTTGCTGTCGGGACTCCACCTCCCCTCGTTCTCTACGAACCTGGTGAGTGGAGCTGACCTCCAGGACGCGTGGGTTGACCAGTTCACCCCTGGAGGTCAGCGTGTGACCCACTGCACTTGCCCTCGGACGGGCCGCCACCTCGCCACGTTCACCCATCGGCCAGGGTCGAGTCTGTACACACTGACTACTGCGTCTCCTCCGGTCTCTGCGTCTGGTCAGGTAGCCGCGTCTAGTCAGGTGTTTGCTGCCGCGTCCAGG